TATATACTGTATGGGTGTATGATGCCAGGACATTTAGATCACATTCGCAACAAGGAATGAAAAAAAAGACAATGCCGGAACAGGACGACACACCAGATTTACACACATAAATGTCATAAATGAAGCCACTCAGATCTTGTTAATTTGTCATCGGGTGTTGTAACCCTAGAATGTTTTAACTGTTTTATTTTCTCTCTTGTGGGACATTTGAAGCACTTCTGGGGGCCCTCTGGGGTCCATAGGGACCCTAAGCAGACAGTTGGCTTATGCCTTGGGCCTGCTCTGCTTGTGTCTCAGACGCTGCAGTGCCAGTTGTATTTAGACAGACAACAGTGTTGCAGAGAGGCTGGGAAATGGAACAAGCCAGTCTGACATAAGATTGCTCATCGTGTTATGGTGTAGGTATGGCATCACACAAAAAGGTGTTTTGCATCACATTGTTAGGCTTGTGTATTTTTGCATCACATTGTTAGGCTTGTGTATTTTTGCATCTATTAATAAAATCATCATGGAATTGCCTAGTTGGCTGATTGCGCTTTGGTGCCATCTACTGGTAAAATACAGCACAGACACGTTGCTGCATTGAATAACTTATGTCCTGACCGCTCGCTGATAGAGCTGCCATGAATTGAAAATGCTTTCATTTTGAAATGTCTGGCCATCTCGGAGAGTGAAGTAAACATAAACTGGAAATGTCTGCAAGTAGATAGCTAGTGGCCTTCGCTTTTACACTGATTAGCCTGACTACTGCGGAGCAGCAGCAAGTCAAGATGGACCCCGCTGAGGAAGGTAGCTAATATTCTATTTGTTTGCTGTAATTGTTAGTGGTAAGTGGTAATGCCGCTCGCATTAGCCCTGTTTGTAGCGTTATCGTGTTCTAGCTAATTTATCTATTGTCAGTGGCAATGACAGAGTCAGCATTGTCTTAAACGTCAACACGGTTCACCAGCATTAAAGAAACCGCTAGCCAATTAGCGTCAGCTAGCTGACGCCCGTTAGCTTTCAGCTACTGTGAGTAAAACCAGCAGCCTGAGGTTTGTTGTTTTGCACTAACGTCGCATTCAGCGTTAATTATATTCAGTGAGCTCTGGTGGTAATAATCCCAGAGGGCGACCATTTCACATTACTGGCATACATAACCTAGCCAAGTATTTACTTTTAAGGGTTAATGTTTTATACATCTATTATCGCATTAGCGTTAAGTTACATAATGCTAGTCTGTGATAACTAGCCAAGCTATGTGTGTTTACATACCGGTCAGCCGTGTCAGTCGGCACGGCTCGTTTACTATGTTGCAGTGATTTTTAATAAAGACTAATCTAATACTAACAGTTTCAAATTCGGACAGATCTGAGTGTTAATGTTCTTCAGAAGGCTTGCATGTAATATTCATTTTCTTACTATCATATTTAAAGTGTGTCACGAGTATTGATAAAGGTAACTCTGTTGATGAAATGAATACAAATGCAAAATACCAAATCTGAACAAATCAACTGGACTAGATTTCTAGGTCGAAGACGTTTCACTTCGCATCCAAAAGGGTTCATCAGTATCAAAACTGAAATTTTTTCAGCTTACTATGACCTGGATGACTGAGAATCTGCACAGACAAAATACCACATGTGTTTGTGTGTGTGTATGTAGACAATCAGCTGAGTGTTGTGCTTTTGTGTCCCTACTGTACAGTGGACATTTGCCGGGTATGTCGGTCGGAGGGGACCCAGGACAAGCCGCTCTACCACCCCTGTGTTTGCACTGGCAGCATCAAGTTTATCCATCAGGAATGGTATGTTCAATAACAAGTTTCTAAAGTCTTATAAGGTGTGTGGTTCCATTATTTTCTCTTGCCTTTCCCTTGAAAAATGTCTTTAAGGTAAAAGTTATGATGCTGCTTGTCAACATCCTTAGTCCATTTGCGTTCACAGATGTTGTTAATGGGTTAGAAGTTTCTGGTTGAAAGGTATTCCAACAGGTTTTTAGGGGCAGTTAGAGAACAGTAGTGTTTATAACTAAAGGGTTTTTTTCCTTATAGGAACCTACTGAAACATGTTGTGCTGAGTAAAGCTTGATTTATGATTCTGCATTAAATCTACACTGTACCTATGTGGTAGGTAACATGTGGCGTCGTCCCCTAAGCTGTAGCCTGAGGTGCACCTCTTCAGAAATGTAACTGCATGTCACAGCGATGCAGACAACAACTGATTGGTTGTTTAGCATTTCCTCATTCATGTCTCTTAGTGGCTGGATGGCTGGACAAGCACGGAATATGCCCCTCGTTCTGGTTCATTTGGTTCAACGGTTGTACAGACCATCTCCTCCGACATCTTCTCTCTTATCTGCGCTGCAGTAATTTCAGTAAAAGAACTGCTGTTCAACATCTATTAGTTTTAACTCCAATATGATCTGATCACTTTCAGTCACAATTGTTAGTAAGTGGTGAAGAAACACAATGCAGTGGCATAGAAACCCTATTGCTAACTAGCGTTTTGGTTCTGTAATTGTAGGGTGACAAAGACACCAGGCACACATGTAAATGCTCACAAAGTTATAGGCCACTTACATGGCTCTACATAGATTAAACGCAGAACCAATTGAACTGTGGTTCAGTGAGTAGAGCAGTCGACTCCCATCCGGAGGGTTGGAGGTTGGAATCATGGTGGCTGCAGTCCACATGTCGGAAGTGTCCTTGGGCAAGACACTGAACTCCCAAATTACCCCCGATGGTTGGAGCATCAGTTTGAGTTGGCGCCGCAGATGGCTGCCTCGGTTCTGTACCAGAAACACATTCCTTGTGTGTGTCACCTACATGGCCAAATAAAGTGTTTATTATTATTATTATTATTATTATTATTATTATAACCATAAATCAAGCTTTACACTCTTTATGGGTTCAACATTTGTTTTCACTACCGTGCACCTGTTTTGAGGTGTGTTCTTGCTAAATTTCAGCACCCCTCAGGAGGTAGTACTAAAATCAAGTACCAGGGACACCAGGGGGGTAGGGGTGCATGTGTGCAGAGCAGTCGCTGGTGATCAGTTAAATGTCAGCATCCTCACACCTCAAACATTAGCATTTCAAGCACCATGTGTAGCACCACCCTTCCTCCTCTAAACAGAGACTGACACAGAGAAAATGCAGTGGAAAAAGAAAGCAGGATGGTCTGTGTCAAGTCTGGAGGCTCTGCTTGGTGGTGGTTAAGGGATTATGGGGTATACCACTCATTAGGGTCCAATAGTGGAAATGCAGCAAAGGAAAATATTTTTGGGCTAGGGAGCATTCACATTTCAGGAGTGAACAGTCCTGGAAAAGTTCTGATTTTTACTGCAGGGCCACAGAGGAAGACTCTTGGACAGAGTTCAAAGTTTCCATAAGCAGGTAAACTCACTAGGTGTCCTTTTGTTTTCACAGCTTACTGCAGTGGTTGAAACACAGCAGAAAAGAATACTGTGAATTATGCAAACACAGGTTTGCGTTTACACCAAGTAAGTTGTTTATTTTTTAGTAAATCAGTTACAATAGAATAAAAATGTGTTCATTTGTTATGAGCTACTCTGACTAATTATCTTTCCCTCATGTCCACATTGGTGGACTGTCTTCAGTTTACTCTCCAGACATGCCATCTCGCTTGCCTGTACAGGATATCTTTGCAGGGCTGGTCACAAGTATTGGAACAGCCATCAGATATTGGTTCCATTACACACTGGTGGCTTTTGCCTGGCTAGGCGTGGTGCCTCTTACTGCATGTAAGTTCCATCATTTCATTATAGTAACTAAATGACTTTTATCAGTAGTTGTCCTATAGTTACCACATACTGTATGTGTTCCCTAATTTCCAGAAAAGTTGTGCATTGGAAGTGCTTGGTGTACAAAAAAAGAGCACAGAGGAGTCTACAAAAACAACTTGGAGAAGGGGAAAATATGTTCATACCTCTGACAAGTAGTACACAATGAGGGAGTTACTGGCTACGCATGAAATGAATATACTCTGTATGCACAGTGTATCCAGGGCTGGCCCAAGTCTTTATGAGGCCCTAAGCAAAATTTGATTTGCGAGTCTTCCAGTGCCTCTACACGCCAGTACTATTAACTATTGTCAGTGCGTGATTATTTACACGCTACTGTAAATCTGATGCACTCATTATCAATTTTATTATCTGTAGCTGTTTCCTTACATTATATCAGTGTCGGTCTGGCATATTTTTACCCTTCTGTGGCTTTTAATATTTAAAGGTAGCAAACTCACATGAGTAGTACTAAGTATTACATACTTAATGGCATATTGAACACGGTGGACTAAAAAGTAATAAAATAAACCAGCAGACAATGCATTTAATGAAAACAAGTTAACTGCTGTAATTGCTTTTGGTGTCATGTCTCATATTATGGAAGTAGGCTGCAAGAGGATATTCTGTCATGTTGGTGAATTTCACTCTTAAGTTCACTATTGCTGTGTTTTAATTTTCTAAAGGTCTGAATAGGCAGGGCCACAGGGGCAATTAAGCATGACATCCAATGACATTCAAATGGAACTTGAGGATTTGGAGTATAGTTTTTAGTTGTTTAGTGTTGTTACTGACATAACCCTCTTTTGTCTTTGCTTTCCTAACAGGTCGTATCTACAAGTGTTTATTTACCGGCTCTGTGAGCTCTTTCCTTACCCTCCCATTAGATATGCTTTCAACGTAAGTTTGGATTACTCCCTGGTTTGGGTTTTGCCCCTCCTCTCTCAAGCTGCCACACTTGTGTATATTATAGGTTTATGTGCGTTTCACATCTTGGATCTTGGAGTTGTTTTTTCATGAAGCCAGTTAACATATGACTGATGATTAAACTCAATTGTCAAGTTATTAGGTACACCTAGTTACACTAATCCAGTCTAGTACAACAACCCTGCAATAAATCAGTGCAGTTGAATCAACACGTCTCTAAAACAGTTTAAACAAAACAGAATATTATCACCTTCATGAAGGAGGATTCACTGCAGCAACATTGTTATTAGAGTGCATTAGTTTTATTGAGGTTTATCTAATAAACTGCCATCTGAGTGTGTAGTGTGGTTATTTATTAATGGCTCTTTACATACAGTGCTGTGGAAAAAGTATTTGCCCCCTTTCTGATTTCCTGTGTTTTTGCACATTTGTCACACTTAAATGTTTCACATCATCAAACAAATTAAAATATTAGACAAAGATAACCCAAGTGAACACAAAATGCAGTTTTTAAGTGATGATTTTATTAAGGGAAAAAAAGCTATCTAAACCTACCGAACTGCAGGCCTCACTTGCCTCACTTAAGATCAGTGTTCATGCCTCAACCATAAGAATAAGACTGGGCAAAAATGGCTCCAAGGCAAAAACCACTGCTGACCAAAAAGAACATAAAGGCTTGTCTCACTTTTGCCAAAAAACATCTTGAGGATCCCCAAGACCTTTGGAAAAATATTCAGTGGACTGTGCATCCTGTTACATCTGGTGTAAAAGTAACAGCATTTCAGAAAAAGAACATCATACTAACAGTCAAATATGGTGGTGGTAGTGTGATGGTCTGGGGCTGCTTTACTGCTTCAGGTCCTGGACGACTTGCTGTGATTGATGGAACCATGAGTTCTGCTCTCTACCAAAAAATCAGGAAGGAGAATATCCGGCCATCGGTTCATGACCTCAAGCTGAAGCACACTTTGGTTCTGCAGCAGGACAGTAATCCAAAACAAACGAGCAAGTCCACCTCTGAATGGCTTAAAAAACAAAATGAAGGTTTTCTAGTGGCCTAGTCAAAGTCCAGACTTGAATCCACTTGAGATGCTGTGGTGTGACCTTAAAATGTTGGTTCATGCTCGAAAACCCTCCAATGTGGCTGAATTAAAATAATTCTGCAAAGAAGAGTGAGCCAAAATTCCTCCCCAGCAATGTGAAAGACTCATTGCCAGTTATTGCAAACACTTGATTGCAGTTGTTGCTGCTGAGGGTCGCACAACCAGTTATTAGGTTTAGGGGGCATTTACTTTTTCACATAGGTCCATGTAGGTTTGGATAGCTTTTTTTTATCCTTAATAAATAAAATCATCACTTTTGTGTTTACTTGGGGTATCTTTGTCTAATATTTATATTTGTTTGATGAGTTGAAACATTTATGTGACATATGCAAAACAATTAGAAACCACACTTTTCACAGCATTGTACTTTGTCATTTTTTTAAAGTGAAGCTGGATTTGAAATTGTTATAAAATATAATGACTCCATGATGTTTCATCTGTTCTTTCAGACAAAACCTGCTTGCAGACTGCCTTCAGGGCTGTTTTGTTGTCACTTGCACCCTGTGCACCTTCATCAGCTTGGTGTGGCTCAGAGAGCAGATTGTCCATGGTGGTGCCCCTCAGTGGTTAGAGCAGAATCAACCTCCTCTGGTTCCCAACAACCCTGCACCAGCTAATGAGGTGAGCTCCATTAATAATGAAGACCAGCAAGGCTCCTTTTTCTAGCTGCACTTAGAGCATGACAGGTATAGGATTTTTACACCATAACAACCTACCAAAACTTGTGAAGTCATATAACGCACTTCCCTGCTTTGGCGGTGTGTTCTGGGAGCTACATTTTGGCACCCCTCAGGAGGTAGTACTAAAATCAAGTGCCAGGAATGGGAGAGGGCAGGCAATGTATGCTCACAGAGCTGTTGCCTGTGATTGGTTAAATGCCAATCACAGGCAACATGGTGCCAAGCATGGTGTGTAGAACCACTGGTCGAAAGCCCCTGGTTTAGGGGTAAAATGGGGACTTCAGCAAGTGGACCAATGGCAAAGTGGTGCAAATGTCTCATTTCTGCAAGTCTGTGGTTTGCTTGTTCAGCAGCTGTTTGATAAACATCTCATACAGTCTCTGTTACTGGCTGATTGTTGCACAAAGGAGCATTGTGATCCTTGACTCACATGCTGTTTATGTGTGTAAGGAGCACAGCCTGCCCTCATCTAAACAGAGAATGACACAGGAAGAAATACAGGGGAAAAGCAACACAGAATGCTCCACATCATCCTATGAGGTTACGACAGGTGATGGTTATGGGAACCATTGGGTGTATGTACCTCTTGTTAGGTTCTGACAGTGGAAATGCAGCTGTAGTGTATTGGATTGTGCATATATCAGGGCTCCAGCCTAACATTTTGAACTGCCACCAAGTCTCTCGGATGGTGGCACCAATGCCAGATGTTGTGGCATGGCCTCTGTTTTGCAACGTAATGCTGAAGACTATAGCTCATTTTAAATACCCTTATCACCCAATGTGCATAGCCTGTATTATAATAAAATTCAGAGAGAGGTAGTACTAAAATCAAGTGCCAAGAATGGGAGGGAGACTTGTGGAACACAATAAATGGGAAAATCACTTCTGGAACAAGTTTCCACCTTTTTATGTATAGTCACTTTAGTGTTCCATAGCCTATGGCAGTCAACATGATGATAATGATGACACTGGTGATGATTAGGTTATTATATTTCAACTGAAGTATGAAATCTGTCCGTTCAATCCACACTGTCTTGGACCTCCCAGCAGCGTCTGTTGTCAGAACAGCTGGAGGACAGCCCAGTCTTCAGCAGGCTAACTGGCAGCAGAAATGTACTGGGCAAAAATAGTTTACATATAGACTCTTCAAACAAGGTTATTTTAAATTGGACAGTTTTTAATGACATGAAGTTTTATTAAAATGCACTTTTTGATAAAAAAAAAAAATTAAAGTAAGTTTAACTTTCTTCCACACATGCCAGTTTTGTGTGTGTTGGCACACATTTCTTTGTGCCAACATTTCCTCTGAGGAGAAGATTCAGGACAGTTGCCTTTTATGATAGAGAAACTGCTTGCCAAGCCAGCACTCACATTTGGCTGTATTTAGTAAAGCAGTGCTTGCCAGATAAAGTCACTCTTCTCTTGTGGTTATTGGTAATAAGCAATAGAGTTCAGGCCTGAAATATCATATCACTAAGTTTTTATCTAATTTGTAAGTTTGAGGAATGCGACTTCAGTGACTCTGAATTTGGTAGTTGCCAAATCCAAATCCAAAACTATGATTATGCTTAATGAGCAAATAAGAGCTCAGATATACCTCATGTAACTGGTGCAGCCTCTTTTTTTTTTAGGAGATCAGAGAATTCTAATGTCATTTATTATCATTCTCCAGGTTCCAGGTGGTGCTGCAGTCAATGCTCAGGCTGCAGGAAATGCTGCAGCAGCCCAGCACCCTGCAGACCTTAATGCAGACGGGCTGGACCCGGCCAATCCACATGAAGCTGGCAACCAGGGAGATGAGGCTGAACTTGATGACGATGAAGATGAAGATGACGATGGGGAAGACGATGAAGAGGCCGAGGAAGATGAGGAGGGCAGGGAAGAGGATGCTGCTGATGCCAATAATGGAGGACAAGGTCAGGTCGAGTACAAAGACATAGAACTTTGATAGGCTATAAAATAGTGGTTTTCAAGCTCTTAACACATAATTCTTCAGTACTGACACTATTCTGTCTTTTGTTACTTTTATATGGAAGAGAAATAGTAAAGATCATTTTAATGCGGCTTATTTGGTTATATTATCAGCCTACTTTAACCATGGATGCAGGTTTTCTGTTGATAATGATGATCACTTTTATTGGTCAAGTATGTTACACACATAAGGAATTTTTCTGCAATACAGAACCGAGACAGCCATCTGTGGCACTGACACACACACTGATGTCTGTGCAAGGTGCTGTACTTGCCATCGGGAGCAACTTGTCTTGCTCAAGAACACTTTGACATGTGGACATAGGCATAAATAATTTAACAATTTAAAGATTAAATATTTGTAAATCTTTTTGTGAAATGTAGTTTTTGTTCCTCTATATTGTAAAACCTAAACCTAAAGGAAACTACAGAGGAACATTGACATGTACAGTTGAGGTCAGAAGCCAAATACATTTAACCTCAGTTTTTCACATCTCCTGACATTTAATCCTATAAACTGTGTTAGGTCAATTAGGATCACTGCTATATTTTGAGAATGTGCAATGTCAGAATAACAATAGAGAAAAAGATTTATTTCAGGTTTTATTTCTTTCATCACATTCCCAGTGGGTCAGAACTTTACATACACTCAGTATTTGGTAACACTGCATTTAAATTGGGTCAAACATTTCAGGATGCCTTCTACAAGCTTCTTACAATCAGTTGCTGGAATTTTAGCCCATTCCTCCTGACAGAACTGGTGTTTGTAGGCATCTTTGTTCACACATGCTTTTTCAGTTCTGCCCACAAATTTTCTATTTGACTGAGGTCAGGGCTTTGTGACGGCCACTCCAATACCTTGACTTTGTTGTCCTTAAGCTATTTTGTCACAGCTGTGGAAGTCTGCTTGGGGGCATTGTCCATTTGGACAAGACCCACCCACTTGTGACCAAGTTTTAACTCTTCTGGCTGATTTCTTGAGATGCTGCTTCAATATATCCACATAATCTTCCTCAGGGGAGGCAACAGTGTGGTGGGTAGAACAGTCATCTCTCAACCAGAAGATTGAAGGTTCAAATCTCAGTGCCTGCAGTCCACATGTCAGTGTCCTTGGGGAAGACAAAACAAGAATTTGGAGAGGTTAATAAAAATCAGTTTTAATTACTTCAACCAAAGTGTATGTAAACCTCTGGCTTCAGCTGTACATTGTAGGCATTCCTTACTGTTTCCATTGCTTTTTGTTGTATTTTGCAGAAGACTTGAACTGGAATGGCCTGGAGTGGGACCGTGCAGCAGAGGAGCTGACCTGGGAAAGGGTGGGAATCTGTTATTAACTTTTTTTTTTTTTTTAACCTCATCATTCTAGACATTTTCCAAAATGCGTTCTACTTTCTGTACTTGTGTTCTTTCAGACTTGTGAAACATCATCAGTCACAACCCAAGTACTGTTCAAAATCTGCATCCAGCCAAGTACACATCAAACAACCAAAAGTGTTCTTGCTTAGCCCATTTTATTAAGGATGCTTTTGGAGCTGAATTATGTGGACTTGGGGCAGCCAAGTATCCCAGAATGCATTGTATGCCAGCTATTGCAGTTTGAGCCAGGCTCAAAGCTGGTAGAATTTTCATCCTTATGCTATTTTATGGTTTTGATATTTTTTCATGTGAAAATGTAACTACTAAGACTGAGAATATGTACTCAGCTAAAATAGCTGGAAGTTGCATCTTGTTCAGAGCAGAGTAGTCTGTCATCAAGTACTGTGTCCTCCCTTCCTTGGGACTTTGTACTTAAATTTTAAACTTAGCAAGTCCAAACTCCCAAGTATGGGAGTTTGAACATGGTGTGTTTGGTATTAAAATGCTCCATAATGTGGTGATCTAGATAGGACATGATGCTAAACAAGCAAAGTTTAAGGAAGCTAGCAGTTAGTTGGCTGATGAATATGGGCTAAAGAGCCCTGTGATAGAAAAACGTCCATCTTGCTGTTAAGCAGCTTCTTGCCATTTCCAGGGATGTTGTTTGGGGCCAACCTGGGATCTCGATTTGCTTTTCTTTGTATTGGTAGAAATTGTCATATTAATATTTGCAGCAGTTATAGTACAGCTACTAGTGTCACCATGGCCAGCTATATGTATTATAAGAGATCAATATGTCTCTATTTATGTCCCAGATGCTGGGGTTGGATGGCTCCCTAGTTTTCTTGGTAAGTGCACGTACTGTCTTACTACTTACACACACACACTCAGTGTTCCTTAAAACATATCCCAGTATATTTTGACCTGGCTTATTTCCTGTTAACTCTTTGCAACACCTTTGTTATTGACATTTGTGTGTACATATGTGTAACAAAGGTTTAACTTGATATCTCCAACTCTTAACTTCTTCTAATCTTGTTAATAATACAATTGGTCATTTTAATTGTGCTTTAAGGGCCAGTTACTGTCCAAGTATGACACTAATGCTAAGAGAGTCTATGGTAATTAACTGTCAAGCCTAAAGTTTATAGGACTCTCACCACATATATTCTAACTGGTTTGTGACATTCATGAACTTTCCTAATTCATTTTTATTTCTGCTGATTTTGCTCCTCAGTGGGGGGGCTGTATTGCAGCTGCAGAAGCTGTGGGAGATTCAGAGTCAGAGAATACAGTGCAACACTAGCAGGGGACTGAGATCAAGCACTTGTCATTCTCAAGTTATCAAAAGTAACACAAATTCTTAGTTTAAAATGTTGGATGACAGAAAACTTAAAGACTTGTTTCCCTTGCAGTTGTTAAAGGACTTAGTGTTAAACTATACAGGCATTTGTCTTTTAACAACCTCAGTGGAATTATGTATTGATGATGCAAATATAATCTTCCTTGTAGCTGTAGCTAGAAATTGTGCAAATTTGACAGAGCAGCCTGTTGTCTTTATCTTCTCATAGGAGCATGTATTCTGGGTGGTGTCTCTCAACACACTCTTCATCCTTGTCTTTGGTAAGTTAATCCTGCAATATGGTGACGATTACGCAGTCGTTATCTTTGAGGAATTGTCCAGCTTTATAGGAATTACAGTAAGATGAGTTTATTCAAGCAGGTGTTGTCACTGTAGTTTACTAATGGATAGACAGTCAGTATGAGAGAACCTTGTATACTGTGCCTTCTCATTCGTTCCACTACTTACCCTAACTTGTGTGTTTCCCCCTAGCGTTCTGTCCGTATCACATCGGCCATTTCTCAGTGATTGGACTGGGTTTTGAAGATTATGTAAGTGCACTGCAGTGCATGAGGGGGCACTTGTACAGTTTGAATTCCTTTCCTCTGTGTTTGTCTTTATTTAATGATGATGTTGTATCTGGTTGCAGGTTAGAGCGTCACACTTTGATGGCCTCATCACCACCATACTGGGGTACATCCTCCTGGCTGGAGTTCTTACACTCTGCCATGTATCCTCTGTAATGATCAAATTACCTTTTGTGTCTGACCTGGATTATGTCTCTCACATCCAGTGTTTTTATTGTGGGTGTTTTATTTTTTGAAGCTGTATCATAGTAATTTGTTTCTTTTTGGTGTGAAAATATATTCAAAATTTCTGTCATCTGTGTTCTAAGTGAAGGCCTTTTTCTTAATCAAAGTGTTAATTGTGAAGTCATACACAAACATAAAAGATCAAGTCAGAGGCCTGTTTTGGCCCCAAGAGCTTATAAGAAATCTATATATCTATTAGAAATCCTAACTTTTGGTACTTAAAATAGTAGCTGGATATTATTTATCTCACTTTTTGTGTTAGTCCTTAACTCTGTGTCATTTAGGCACTGGCTTCATTAGTGAAGTTCCAGCGGTCCAGACGCCTTCTAGGTGTCTGCTACATTGTTGTCAAGGTAAAGAAAAGATGTGACTGGAATGGTTCCAAAAATCTATTTTGTCTTTGCTTTTATCAAGATAGCTTTCAAGTTTTCAGTTGAAGCAGTAAAGAAGATTACACTTAACAGGAACAAATTGTGAAAACAGAGACCAATGTGGATTTGTATTTTTGGTCACAGGTGTCCCTTCTGGTTGTCATGGAGATAGGCTTGTTCCCACTAATTTGTGGTTGGTGGCTTGATATTTGCTCATTGGTAAGACAGTTATATTGATGCTGTTGTACAGTCAAATACTGACTCTCACACTGATTGATGAATGTTCAGTTTGGAAAAAGAAAACTCACTGAGTTTTTGTCCTTGGTATAGAAAACAAACAATAAGGTCAATGCTTTGTTTCATTACAGGAGATGTTTGATGCCACTCTGAAAGACAGGGAGCAGAGTTTTGACTCCGCTCCTGGTACCACCATGTTCCTCCACTGGCTGGTTGGCATGGTCTATGTTTTCTACTTTGCTTCTTTCATCCTTCTGCTCAGAGAGGTAACGTAGTCAGTCAGATTCTGTGAACTCAAACAGTTCATTATATTCTTAGCACCTGACTTTCGACTCATGTTTATGTACAGGTACTCCGGCCTGGTGTGCTATGGTTCCTGAGGAACCTGAATGATCCAGACTTCAACCCAGTCCAAGAGATGATCCACCTGCCCATTTCCAGACATCTCCGGAGGTTTATTTTCTCTGTGGTCAGTCAAGCACCTTCCGGTGTTTAACACCAAACCGGATTCTGAGTAGCATAGCAACACTCAGATCTGCTAGAAAATGTGTAAAATACCATGATCATGTTAAGTGTTGAGATAGAAAATACAATAAATTGAATCATAAAAAGAATTTAAATAGATATAATTACATATAAACTGTGGAAGCAAATTTAGTCTTTAAAGGTTCATCTCACCCAAGTTATAAAACATGTCCTTCTGCTTTGCTAATGATATGTAGCCATGCATATTGTTCTGGTTTCAGTTGCCCATGTTTTGAAGTATCCAGCTTTGAGATTTCTGCCTCCCTCCTAGTACAGTGACAGTGAATAGAATTTAATTTGTTTTGCTCAGAGAAATGTTTAAAAAATTACATCAGCAGTAAATTTGTCTTTTCAGAAGCTATATCCAAGTTACTCTGTATATTCCACAGAATGGGCCATGAACACTTCGTTTTAATTGTTTTCCCTTAAAGAAATAAGCTTTTGTCTCTTTACTCAAGCAGAATAGGGAGAAATGTAATTCTGTAAAGACATTTTACTAATAAATTTCAAACATTTCATGGTCAAAATCAAAACTATATGCACCGTAGGGGTAAGTAATGTATTATTATTGTGTGAATTTATTACTATATATAGTTTGTAATGTGTCTGCGAACCATCCCTTAAATTCTTATTTATTCTTTAGTTTTTACACTAAAACATGGAGAATATTGGTCTAGATATAATTTTACTGGTGGTGATCTACTGCACATTCTTTTTATCACCAAAGAGCCTATTTAACCTTTGCTGTTGCCCTGTAATAATACAGGCATACCTTACATGTATACTAACAAAATTTTATGATTTGGGATTGTGTTTGTTTGTGTGTGTGTACATTTATATATATATATACACATATATGTGTGTGTGTGTGTGTGTGTGTGTGTGTATTTTCAGATGGTGTTTGGTTCCATAGTTATTCTGATGCTTTGGCTTCCTGTTCGAATCATTAAGCTGCTCTTCCCAACCTTCCTTCCTTACAATGTCATGCTTTACAGGTACACATGACTTTACCTAAAGTTAGCATTTAAAATTCAGCATTTGGAAGTAAAAGGTGACAGTCTACTCTTTGTTTACACAATGTGGTTTATTTCCTGTCACAACAGTGATGCCCCAGTCAGCGAACTGTCTTTGGAGCTGCTGTTGCTTCAGGTTGTTCTGCCAGCATTGTTGGAGCAGGGTCACACTCGCCAGTGGCTCAAACGGCTCGTCCATGCCTGGACATTCACAGCTGGATACATGTTGTAGGCTTGACACACACATACACATCATAACTTGAGATGTAAAATAGTACAGTGTTGTAAAGATGATGTACAACTTAAATGCTTTGTAAGACTATTTTAATCTGTCATATTTGGTGAAAAAGCATTGGCCATAGAAAAAAAGGCCACTGTAGATACATCTCAAATTATTCTTTCCTATTTATGTCCTTTGTCATTATGCCACTTCAATTCTTTGGAATAAGACAAAGTATTCTCTCCCCACAGTGACCTTCACTCATACCTGCTGGGGGAATATGAAGATGACGACAACCAACCAAACAACAATGCTCCTGGTCACCATAACAACAACCAGATCCCTGGCCTGGGGGAGGGGCTTCATGCAGCCCATCAGGCCATTCTACAACAAGGCTTTCCTGTGGGTTTCCAGCCATACCACCGACCTGTCAACTTTCCCCTCAAAGTAACCGATAATCTTGTGGTTTTTCATATAATATTTTCAAATATTCTGTAGCTGTTGAACCCTATCTTGCTTCTAAGATTTCCTGCACACGTAATTTGTTTCATTGTTTTGTGTTTGCTTGTTTAGGTCATTCTGCTGGTTGTCTTCATGTGTGTGACATTATTACTGTCTAGTCTGATCTGCCTTACACTACCAGGTAAGTTATGGCCACATGCAAGCATTTTACAGTTGCTCCTCTCTGCTCAGTCATTCTGCTCACCTTTATTTACACCTGTATTTCTCTTCCTTTACTTCCAGTGTGTGTGGGTCGCTGGCTGATGTCTTTCTGGATGGGTAGTACCATGGTTCATGAGCTGTACACAGCAGCCAGTGGTCTGTATGTCTGCTGGCTGTCCATTCGAGCTGCCACAGTGCTGCTGTCCTGGATGCCACAGGGACGGACTGTCATCTTGCTCAAAGTCCATGAGTGGACGCTCATGGTAATGTGGATGTCCCTTTAGTCTTCCCAGACAATGGCAAGAATGCAGCTGTTCTTGTATTATGTGGTCAACAGCTGTATTTTGATGAGCTGTTTTGTTGACAACAGATCCTGAAGACCATTGTGGTCGCCCTGCTGTTAGCTGGGGTGATTCCTCTGCTGCTGGGTCTGTTGTTTGAGCTGGTCATCGTTGCGCCTCTCAGAGTCCAGCTGGACCAGACACCACTGTTCTATCCCTGGCAGGTAGGACCATGGCATTTGTATTTAGATGACTAAAAAAAACATACTGCTTTACTGTTTCCATTTAAGAAATCGTAAATTTCTGGTCAGAGATCTTTAGAGTGTTTCGGTGCATACATGTTACTAGTAGGACTGGGTATCAGACCTTGACACTTTTTTTCGTATGGACAAAGCTCAAACATCCAATGCTGTGTCAGTGACTTTTCCTGTTAATCGTGCTTGTCGTTTGAAGACATTTGATTCTGAGCAAATGCTGAAATTCTGAGACAAACCTCATTGTGTCTGGCTTAATGTGTGGTTGATGCCTGTGCTGCAGGACTGGGCTCTGGGTGTGCTCCATGCTAAAATCATTGCTGCTATCACACTAATGGGCCCTCAGTGGTGGCTCAAAACCGTCATTGAGCAGGTCAGTCACACATCTCTCTAGCTTCACTGTTACTTAAATGCATTGTGCAGATGACTAAATATATGGGTAAATCTCTTATTATCCTAGTATAGTAGATCATATTGTTTACTCTCTATTCACATTTACCTGTTCAAAACCTTTGTGTAGAAGCCTGATTTAAGAACTAATGCAGATTTTGTTGGGATAGTTCATTATTTAAGGATGAAAATAATAGAGTTGGTATTGGAATGAGGTCAAACAAACCTGTCGGTGTCTTCCCTCTTTCTGCTGTAGATGTATGCTAATGGGATCCGAAACATCGACCTCCATTTCATCATGCGAAGGCTGGCTGCCCCAGTCATCTGTGTCTTGCTGCTATCACTTTGTGTACCCTACACCATCTGTAAAGGCATCACACCACTTCTGGGTAGGTTTTTATGTATGGTTCTGAGCGTGGATTTTATGGTAGTTCAGTGTACCTTAACAAGGTAGTGGAAGAAAAGAGGACAGATTCACCTCTCCTCCTTTTCTTTCTCCCTAACTGCTCCAGTTTTCTCATCCATCACCTACTCTCTGTGTACTGTCATAGAGCAGCCTAATGAAGAATAATACCTCTCAGTTGTTTTAGACTTTATGGTTTTAATATCCACTCTAGTCATTTACATAAAAATTGAAAAACTAGATTGTTCTAAACAGGATTTGTTTCACTTTTTAAAATCATATACAACTGCTTTCCAGTTATACAATTTTAGCTGTATATTTTTAGTCTACTTTAAAAATGCTTATCAAAAGCTGTAATGAATTATTTATAATCTGTGAACTGGTTGCTTTAAGTTGCAACAGGTAAGGATTTATTGAAATATAATTTTTTGAAATGCGTAAAATTTCAAGGCAAAGCAAAGAATTCAATATGAATTCTGTCATTAATAATCACCAATAATCATTAACCCTTAGAAATTTGCAATGGGGATTTTGCTTAAGGTTGATTTTGAAATATATTATTAAAACTAACAGTCTAACAAGCGGTTGGGTAGGAAAGCACAACTAAGCTCAAACATAACATTTGTTCCCTAGATTATTTTGGGTATTGACTAAATTAGAAACTGTAGCAGATAAAATTCAGACAATGGTAAGAGGCAGGCTCAGATGTCACCAGGCCACAGCACAGGCACATCCTTATTACTGTGGAGGCATGGCTCAGTTGAGCAGTGCTTTCATGAAACGCCTACCCAAGGCACCAACTTGACTTTTAACAGGCATTTTGGTGTTACTAGGATAACACGTGCATTTAAACAGCTAGATGATTCCCAGCCCATGTGGAAATGAATACTTTAACCACTGTGCTAACCAACTTAAAATTGATCATTTTTTGTCCTTGATTTAGTTTCTCTAACTCAACATTAGCATGTTAGTAAATAAGAGTTTTTGTTCCAGTTTTTATTCTTTCTTTCCTGTACACCCCATGCTAAATCCCCCCCACCCCACACCTCACCACCTTCCTCCTTTTGCAGGTGTGCAACCAGAGATGCAGATACTGGTGGAGAGGAGAATCTATCCGTTCCTGATGATGGTGGTCATTCTGTGGCCATTCTGTTCTTCCAGATACGACAGTTCAAACGCTTATACGAACACATCAAAAATGACAAGTCAGTACACTGCTAAGTATCTTTTAGCATGAACCTCCACATAGGTTTTTTTTATTCATCTCCTCTTGATTTTGGCCAGTTTCAGTTTGTGGTTGTCTGTATGATAGCTGCAAAGCTGAAGGGGAAAAAGAGTTACAAGTCTCTCTATAGACATGTAACCTTGATTTAAAAGATGGTTTTACATGCCAGTATTTTTAAAATTCTGTTGTGAAAATTTTGGATGTTTAAGTACTAAGCAAAAATCAGTACAATCAGAAACCAGTGGCATAAATATTCATCTACTGACAGTATTCCAATAAGTTATCAACAGTAGCTGGGGGAAGCTAGTAGGATGCTACTGATAAACAGTTGCTAGGGGTGGGCAGTATGGCTAAAATTCTCTACAGTGATATTTGTTATTTTATGTCACAATTGGAGATAGAGTTTTAAAAGCAGTAAAAGTACTCCAATTTCAGATGTGGCATTCTTTCTTATGGAAGTTGTGTGTGTGTGTGTGTATGTGCTTGAGTGTGTCTGTATGTGTGTGATTTCTGTTCGTTGCCATGGTACTCAAGTACCAAATGCTTAAACAGCATCTTCTGCTGGTTCAGTTCACTTTTGTTCATCAGGAGTAGAATAGAATATTACTACGGTGTTTGTATATAATGAGGGTATTTAACTTTCATTACCAAGTGTTTTACAGTACTTATGTTTACTAATCGGATAGTATGACAGTACATAATGCCCACAGGATCTTAGCTTGGTCATTCTCAACCACCTTTGGAGGTGTATCCCATTTTGACTTTGGGACTTCCAGCCTGTACTCGGCACAGATGTTTCTGTACACTATGCCAGCCACTTGGTTATGGTGTTCCATGCATGCCCTGCCGGCTCACAGTCGGCTTTACTTTTGTCTTCATCTTATGTTAAAATATCTTCAAAGCACTGAAATTTCTTCTCTACCTCCTAACGACCTGCTTAACCAGCGTGAGGTTAGAGTAATGTTACTGTTTAGTGGTTTTAGTGCATGGTATCAGACAACATTTATGTGTGCATGTACTAGAGGGAGGTATCGGACCTGATAGTGGTATTAGTGTTAGTCATCTGTAATATTAATGGTATGACAAAATCTTTGATGTTGCCTCAAATCATTTTTTTTCTTTTTCATCTAAACCTAGGAACAGCTTTCAGACGTTACAAAATGTGTTGCAGGTCATTAGAAGTAATTTTAATTTCATCAATGTATACTTAATTTTGCCTTTACCTGGAATAATATAAAAATGCCATGCTGTTGGTATGACACATAGAGTACAACAAACACTGAATTTCTGTGCAAGAGAAAGCTCCACAAATTGTCCAGTTTTGTGCTGTTTGTTGACTGGTGTGAAATTCTTCTGTCCATCAGAGGTGTAATAGGGCATATACCCACCTCAGGGCAGGGTGATTTACCATATACTGTACCTACCTAAACATACTGTAGCTATGGATACATATCAGTCTGCAGGCATTTATGTTAACAGCAATGTGTGAAGGACGAACTTGGTGAACAGGTGATTTACTAAGTGTTGTCCCATAAGCGGCAAGCGCCACAGCTCGCACAGCTACAGATATGAAGGGAACAAGTAAAAACTTTCTCACAGCGATGACAGTTCGAAATGAAATGCATAAAACTAAGCTAGCCCTACTGAAAACTGAAGAGTTAAAATAGAGTTGTGTAAATTTTAACCTTGAAAATAATTTCTAAAGAACTGTCTTTTCTGTGTCTTTCCCAGATATCTGGTTGGACAGAGGCTTGTGAACTATGAATGTAAGACAGGCAGGAGCATGTCTTCCTCTTCCTATAGCACCTCTTCATAGACCTGATGCTGCTGTGGGATCAGTGGAGCTGGCTCTCTCTGCACAGCACTGGGAGCTAACATCAGCTCCTGTGATGAAACCTTTTTGTATCCTCACAACTTGACTGTCAACTTCAGTCTCTAAACTTTTGACTGTACCCTCTCTTTTATCCAACAACATCAACTGCAGTCACAGCTTCAGGGGACAAAGACATCGAAGATTGAAGACAAAATAGTCTCAAAACTCACTACTGACAGAAATGTTCATTTCTGACCAAGGTTGTTAGTCAGCCTGAAAAAACCCTATCAGCAGAATTGAATGTCAGCACAACCACAAACCAGTTGATGGTCCATCCTGTCTAATGTGTCTGTTTTTAGCTGACATTTAAATTTGTATTTATACTGTTTCAAAATGAGTTGAGCCGAAGTTTGTTCAGTTGAGCATAGCTTTTACCTCAGATTGCGCCTCCCTTTGAATGTTTGATGTGAACTATTGTCTAGGCCATACTGAGTGTCTCTTATCGAGATGTTTTCAAAGCTTTAGAGGAGATGTGTGTACTGTACCTGGGACAACACTGTGTTTCTGTTCTCCTTGTAGATTTGTCTCAAATGACTTCCTTCATTAATTTGTGGTGGTCAGTGATAAGAAGGGACAAATATGATGTTACAATGTGATTGTATTTTTGTTATTATTATTAGATTTTTGTTAGATGTTCATTGATTTTTAGTGTTACATTTCTGGTAGTGAGCTGCTCATTTTCAGATTTTAGACCATCTCATCACAACCTAGTACAGGTGTTTGTTTTTGTGCTGCTGCCTTATTTCTTTCTCGTTTGAAAGTCATTAGTAGATACTGAGACCCTAAGAGCGACTTCACACACAGACTCGTTAAAGGATCAATCCAATCCTGCCTTATTTTCGCTGCATTTCAAGATGGAAAAAAACTAAAGCACACTTGAATATGTATCATGACTGAAACAAACCCCAGCTATTCTATATATTTATTTCTTGTAGTCACATTCTTTGATAGGTTCCTGTTCCTGATGTCCTAAGAGATTTTATTGTTTCATGCAAATGTTTTAATGTGCTACACTTTATTGCACAGTTTGCAGTCACTTCAGAATCAATTGTAACAGTCAACATAGCAGAGTTTGTGCTTTTATTTACCCTCGACTGAGATATCAGTAGTTTACTGTAGTGACTCTGCACACATGGTTTTACTTAAAAGATAAATGTAAGTTTAGTATTTGCCTCTGCATTTGTGTTAGAAGTTGTTCTGTGGGAGTTTGGTAAATATAAACTACTTTTCTATTGATTGATTAACTATAGTGCTGACTGCTGTGTGGAATGCTCACTATATATATGTAGATATGAGAGAGAGTGACCTTTTGGTATCTTCTTGGACTGAGCTGGGCACTTAAAATTTTGGTCTTGAATTACAATTTCAAGATGCAAATGATTTCTATTTTTATATGTGCAGAGAGACAGTGGCATGTACTGTAACATAAAGGTACATACTTTAAGGTTTATTCATTTTTAGTTCCATAATTTGAAAAAGTAATAAACAGTTGTAATGAATTCTTTGAGTGCAGATTCCTCTTAACAGTGCAACTTATATGCTCAAGACTGGCAGGATGGCTGACAAGATAGAAATGGAGAAAAATTGCGCATCACATCACTTTTTTCAGACTTTGCTCTAATCTTTGCTTGTAAATTACTGGATAATTATACCTCCATCCACCGTAAAACAAGTCCAAGAATGAACTTAAATACTTTCCTGTCAGTTAAGACTAAGTTCCCTTGAACTGTGATAGATTTTGGAGCAATGGCTGCTTTTGGTATTGCAGGATCACGTGACCCCCACAGATTGTAAAAAGATATATTTTCTTGAACAATCCAAACACCACAAAATGACTCATTGCATTGTATGGTAATGGAGTGCTGTAGGAAAGACATATTTTTGTAGGCCAGCTCAGAAGTTAGCACTGCCCTGGTTCCCCTGACAAAAGGCCAGTGGGATTTTTTTCCACAGGCTTTTAGACTTTTGCAGGAAATAATCTCGGTGACAAACAACGGTTTATGACACATTTTGTTCAGCAAGATAATCTTCACAGGTGCACACCACTTGGATGATTTTTGAAGCCCAAATATAATCGCTAAAAGTAAAAAACTATTGTTAGGCTATAAACAAACTACACCACAGTCCCATGACTTTAGTGTCACCACCACAGCTTCCAACATAGAATTTTATTTAGTGCACTTTACCTCTGTTAAAAAAAAAAAAAAAAAACTGCCCATAAATACACTGTTGTTGTTGCTTTGTCCACATGAAAACACAGAAACATGCTGTCCAGAGTATGTTAAGCCAGCAGTGGGCAATATAACCCTAGCCATGGAGTCATGTTGGTCAACCAGAAGCCTGAAAAAGTTAGCAATCAGTTGAGGTCTGTGAAATAGATCAATGTGTAGCAGTGACCTTTAGCGCACATTCTGATGCCTCTGTTCCTCAACATATTGTACGAGTAACTTTAAGTGTGTGCATGCTAAAAGCCTGGTTATTTGGTTAGTAATGTTACAACCATCAACAGTTTGGTTATGTCTGCTACTGCACAATATCACCTGACAAACAAAGGACATAGCGTTGCACATTCAAGCAACTAAGATATCATCACACTCGTGAAGAATCAGTTTTTCTGTTTTTAGTGACCTAAAACACCATTTGCATGGATAAAAGACCAAAACCAATAAAAAAAGCTGTTTTTAAAAATGCCCATTTATGTGTGGATAAGGCCTTAGTTTGACCTGTTCTAGCTAGTGATCATGGCTGTCAGAATAGTTTGCAAGTGTGCGAGTTTAGCGATAGCAAGGCTATAAAGGTGGATTAATGAGTAGGTGAATCTCTGAGTTTGGCGTGATGACGTTTAACATCCCAGACAGCCTCTGTAGTCTCATTTAGCCACTTATTAGCAACTGCCTTTTTAAAGACATGTAAAAGCATAGAAGGTCATGGGTTTTTATCACTGACAAACTTTATGTTGTAGAATAAAATGTGAAAATATATTGACCTTTTGTAGATACTGTGCACTCTTCACTGCTGTGATTGCACTTCTGGTTAGATGCTAAACTGTATTTGTCATTACCCATGTACAAGTACAAGGGCAATGACAATAAAGTTGAATCTAATCTAATCTATTTTTGCAAACCAGTGTAAAGTTGTGTAAATTATGCTTATGTTATTCTTCAACAGAAGTGCTTGTCAGATGCTTGGGCAGTGTCTCAAACCCCACCCCACCTGCAACTAGTCTGCACAAGTACTTGTGTGACTTTTAACTAGTCCAACACTAGTGACTGAGCAGATTCGGTGGACACACACTCACCCACCTACTGTTTGTCTCATTCAGTTTCTGCTCTGCATTTACCTTTCATCTTTAATTCAGTGTCAGCTGTTTAAACCAGCCTAGCTCTGACTCAGATAATGTCTGTAGTCTGTTTTGTTATTTCAGTGATTATTTCTAAAAAAATACCCCAATAATTTTACTAAATAACTTTACTTAACTTTTTCCCTCTGGTTGCTTGTGTTACTTCCCTTTTCCCCAGCGAGCCAGGCTGTAACACTGTTGGAAAGTGTAGCTCTAGACAACAGGATGTGAGGTTATTTAAGCTGAATCCAATTACTGTACCCTTCAGCTAATGCACAGCCTTTAAACTTTTGAAGCCAAGTAGATTAGGAGCATATGTAACCAAAACAAGATTTCTACTGTCAAAGAAAATCAAATTTTTCCAACTAGTGCTTCATTTTTTAGTAGCACAATGGGATCAACCTTTTCATTGCAATGAAATTCTGAAGTAAGTGCCTGTGATTTGTCCCTCCATAAGGAGCTCGGATATTAGTGCTGTCATGATGAATTTGATTTCTTTTTCTTTTTTTTTTTATCTAAAACCAGACTTCAGGCATGAAACAAGTGTATCGTCTACTCTTAATTTTCTCTAACACAGATTACTACTTTGCACAAAAAACTGAAAGTAATTATTTTAACTCTTTAAATGTCCCAGTACACTGCCATTTATTACACAGAATGGAGCAATGGGTTTCAGGAAAGACAGGATAGCAAGCTGTGCCTGAAAAGATGTGTGCCCAGTGTGGGCTAACCTTACCTGTTCCAACTGGTAAATGGAGATGTTTTGCATCAATGCAAACTTTGTGTGGAAGCAATTAAGATGTAATAATTTAAATTTTAAAAGCAACTCAGTAACTGTGAAGTTTCCAGTTGGTTAATTGGAAATGAGTTCACTAATTCAGATGTCTACAAAGTGTACTGTATATGCAATATTCAAGTTGCTCAAATTCAGCTCTAATCTGGAGATTCAAGTCAGGTGGGGAAAAAGGTTTTTCAAATTGGATTAGTAAAATTTTAATATAATCCAAGATGAAAAAACCAAACAAGCTGTATTTATGCAAATTAGAACCTTGGATCATATTGCGTACAAAATATAGACATGACACAGCAGATAGAACATGAAACCTTTTTTTGTTTGTTTTTTAACCTGACATATAAAATAATGTCATGTACAAACATGAATGTCAAGTATCAACACAAAAAGCCTGGATCTGACAGAAACACTGGAATAGAGCAATAACGCCTGTAAAGTGAACATAGCCTTGGCTACTTGGATTTTATATCTGCATCAAATGGAACCTAAAAGTAAATATTTAATTCAAACTGCCTATAGTAATTCAAATAGATTAATAATAATATACTGTATATTCAAACTAAAATTTAACCAGTGGTAGTTTCATGTCACAACTGGCTATTCAGTCGCTTACAGTGTTCAATTTAAAAGCTGTTATTTGCTGCAATACGCACAAAACATGGGAGTCTTCCATTTTCTGCCTAATTTACTTTGTCATGCTGTTCTGTTGCTCACGTTTTATACACAACCTTACAGTGGAGTCTTTTACATTGTTTACTGATTCCAAAAGTCACATATTATTCAGAGGGAACTTGAGGAATAGTGTGGCACTCAACAGTCTACTTTAGACACTGATGAAGGTGACATTAGGGCCTGACCTCTGTCTGGGTTTAGAGTGATCCTGGTCCTTCCATTATATGGATGAATCACGTGGGTGAGAAATCCAATTGAAGCTGACAGTGCACAGTGTAGCAGAAAGCAAAACTCCTGTGGGGGGATGGCTTGATCTTTTGTACTAATGACATTAATTCTCTAATAAGGATCCTAGAATAAAGGCAGCAAATTGATACTGGCATAAAAACTGACTGACTGTAAGGTCTGTCTCTACATTTGTTTCTTTTTTTTTTTACATATTTTCTGTGTTTCCTGTTGTCCATGTCTTGTGGAACTCAAACACTAGTTCACTTACTTATTGTTTTCTGTTATCCCTGTGTAAAACATTACCAAATGTTATGAGAGAAGATTTTCAAAGGTTAAGACATTTCCCGTTGTGCTTATACCATTCAATTTTACACTTTCTCACATCCCAGCTGAAAACAATCATACTGTCTTGTCACTGGGGAGGGGAACGCAGCACAACAGCTAGAGATAGAGAAATAGTGACTAAAGGGATTATCATGCGTCAATTCAAGAGAATCTCTCTCATCCTATTGCCGGCCATCATCAAAGGAAGCCTAGTGTTTCTCTGCAGGGAAAACAGGATTAGTTGCTGAGCGCTGTCAGTGGTGGCTGTCACCAAACAAGACGACTGCATGTTCTTCTACTTTCCAGAGGACAACTTCAGCTTTAGCTTCTCATCAAGACTTCCAGAAGTCAGGAATTCAAGCTGCTTGTCTGAGTTCTGATGCCATGTTTATACAATGTGACGGACGAGGCCTTTGGTGCCTTTGTGAAGGCTCACATGGAAATTGGTGGTGGCTTCTCTGCAGTTTGCAACTCATGGTTACACTTGGGCTTGGCAGACTGCCTTTAGTTTATTTGAAGATGTGATATTGATAAACTTATTAGGGAGGAAAACTGACAAGATTTATTTGACAATGTCAGAGGGTTGACAGCAAGTGAAATGGACCTATGCTTGCCCTGTGTCATCTTGTGACACCTGTCTGTTGGGAAACCTAACAGAGATAAACAGATAGACATCGAGAGCCTGGTGGATCCAGTCCTCTGTTGGGTAGGCCTGTGATGGGCCTATGAAGATAAACTCTTGGTCTCCCTAGAGTTACCCTGGCACCTAATAAGCATTTAAAAAAGGTGTGTGGGGGCAGAGGAGGGTTTAAATGGTGTTAATAAGGGAGGAACAAGGTGACAGTTCAAAGATTCGAGAGAATGGAGTTGCTGGAGGAGTTGGACTTGGCGATTTTGAGTTTAGGACCAATAAAGTGGCTATGGATACACCTGGCATGTCCATCACCAAGGTTGATAAGGACGGGGATGAATGTGAGCTCTCAGGAAAGGATGATAATGCGGAGGTTGAAGTTGATTACACACGTAATTACTGGGAGGATGAGGACGATATCTACCAAGAGTTTGAGGAGCTGGACTTTGAGGCTTTGCCGGACTGTTCAGACACATGGAGCATCGCCTCAGACGACTCCTTTTACCCCCTGAACAATTCAATCGACTCTCAAGGCCCTGACAGCCCAGAGCCTATCTCCTTCTTCAAGGCCTGCTGCAACAACAACACCATCATTGTAAAGATTATGATCAGACAAGGGGTGACAGAAGAGGAAGTGAAGGAGACAGACAGGAACAGAAGAGTAGGTGCCAGGGTTCAGTTTGATTTTCAGGCACTTCTGGGTTTGTTTTCACTACCAACTCAAAACCAGCATTGTTTGCTCACAAATAGAACAGGTGAAAATACACAAAGTTCCATGAGTATCAATCTTAAAGTACTGTACAGGCGTTTATTAAGTTTTAGCTATACATAATGTATACTCAGTTGATATATTACCAGTTCATTCTGTAGCAGTTCACTGATATTGTACCTTTGTATGAGGGCAATTTCTGTTGCCCATCATGCATATCTTCTTATATAAGTACTGTACATGTAACAGTAATGTTGATTAGCCACTCAGTATTATTTTCTTGTTTACAGTTTAAAGGTTAAATATCAGTCAGAGCTTTAAACTGTTCTGTAATTGTGTGTTCAGTAAACAACAAAAAAACCTTGAAGTTTACAATGTAACATTTCTTTAAAATTAATCCTATAATTGTTCACTATTAGTCTAACAACTAAGGCATGTTCTGGTGTATAACATAAAGGTGCATAAAAAGCACTTTGTCCTCAGGTGAACTTGGCAGTTTTTCTTACCAGTAATCACGTGATTTTTTTTGTGGTCAGGCCAGTCACATGCAGCTCCTGAAACCAACAAGCCACTGAAGGTCAAATCCTGAAACAGGGTTCAGAGCAGTTGGTTAAGCCTCCACTGACAGATGGGGAGTACAAATTACACAGTGACAGTGTCGAGAAGCAGCTTGACAGCAGGGCTCAGCTTTTGCAAGCCTTGCTAAGAAGCTAACTTGAGCACTAGGTGACAGATACCGTACGCTTATAGAGCTGGAACAGACAGAAGGATTGACCTGAAATACTTTGGTAGTAATGTATTTTAGGACACCTGGAGGTGTATTGACATACTTGGCAAGCTGCAGCGGAAGTGAGCCAGATGTTATGTCATGATATGAGGCATTTTCTGTTACTAAGCACTTGTTTTAGCAAAAGCAATCCTCTGAGTGACTCTGAGTAACTGTTTCTCTGAAAACTACAGCCATCTTAAGTGTGTTGGCCCTGTGGTGAAGCTTTTCACTACTAAATTAATTCCTGCATTGTTTGCACAGTGGGAGAGCAAAAAAGAGAATGACTGCACACTGGGTGCCATATTTAATATTATTTGTTGTATTAGGACCAGGGTGGCTACCCAGCTGTACAGCACTAACCTCACATCTTGTCTGTCTTGGTGTGCGTCACCAGCACTAAATGTAACCATCCCAAACAAAAAGGAACACAACCCACTGGTAAATGTTCTTCAAGTCAGGAACATTGACAAGGAGGAGAAACATGAATACCAAGTTTGCTTTCATTAAGGAAATGTGACTTAAACATAGAGTAGCTTATACAGTAGAACTGCTTCATGTTCCTTCTTCCTGATGTTGCTATCACTTAGGATTGCTACATCTATCACTACTGCCTAAATTATGCTTACAGATTAATAAATTATTAAGGCTTAATGTCTCCATTTTTGTTTTTGTCTGGGGAAAAAATGCCCCTAATTCAAACACTAATTGATGTAACTGCTGTTGCCCCTTTAAATAAAAGAAAATCAGCGAGTAACATTTTAGACATTTTTCCTTGGCCAGTGACCACTCCAGATGGAAACCCATGTTTAACCTGAGTTAACAGTCTATTATCTGTTACACATTCTGAAAAGCAGCCTTTTACTTTGCTTACATGTAGCATGACCAAAGCATTATTTCTTTTTGTGAGAATCACTGTAGTGTTTTTTTTTTTTGTGTGGAAATATGCCCTTGGAGCCATAGAAAAGGTTCACAGTAGCCCTGGGAAACCAATTTGGTGTTTTTAAGAAGCCAAAATTTATCACAGATAAAGAGAAATGAAAAAATTCAAGCACTGTTTTTGTGTTTCAGTCTGGTCTGATTGTGGCGTGCTACCATGGCTTTGTGGATGTGGTCATTGCCCTCTCTCAGTGCCCGTATCTTGATGTCAATTGGCAGGATAACGAGGGCAACACTGCTCTCATTACTGCAGCACAAGCAGGTAAACCCATGCTAGACAACACAGTCTCACAGAAAATGTATAATAGCAAACACTGGACTATAGTTGGACTATAGTTCAAAACTGTTTGACTTCAAACGGAAACTAAACTAGCTTCCTACACTCTAGTCCAGTTGGTGGTGGTAATGAAGTATTTCGTTCTTTGCCAAATGCCATTAAACACCAAGAAGAAGAACATAAAGCAGTACACTGGCCTGCAAAACAAAAAATGTTTAGATATCTCAATTTTACAGCCTTTATTATAACCGTACTACATTTTACACTATGGACCAACATAGCTATTCTGTATTTTCATGTGAGACTGGGCTGCATTGCACCCCTGAAATGAGTACCTGTATATGTTATATAAAAACTGAATTTTGGTATCATTTTGGTGATTTTGTAAACAAAAGGCCCTTTGGGAACATACGGGCTGCACTTTATTGAGATCTACACTACTTCATTGATATTTTAAAGGAATAGTTCAATATTTAGGGGAATACAGTTGATGTGCTGTCTTCCTGAGAGGTACAGCACTAGTCAAAAGTCTGGACATACTTTCCCATTGAAATGAATGGGAAAGTGGGGCACTATACAGTCGATGGCATCATTAACACCTCTAAATGGCTTAATTTAGACTGAAAACAGAAAGACTACTAGTCTGGCTCTCTCCAAAGGCAACAAAATCCACCTACCAGCACAACAGAAGTTCACCAATTAACATGTTGTGTCTTGGTTGTTTAATCCTTACAAATACTGCCAAAATTAATCTAGTTTTGTGGTAGGTAAATTATCAAAATATGTATTGAGCAGACTGGCTGTCAAATGGATTTTATAAAGTTAAAAAACACTATTTACGATCTCTCTTGTAGACAGTGAAAGTACCAAATCAGTCAAAGCTAAAGGAGTCAGCAGATAATGTGTTGTGTGGACAAGCACCACAGTGTATTTTATTGGTATCAATCCTTATTAAAATCCAGCGCTAAAATCATTTACATGATTGTCCAGAAACAAATTATTTGAATAAACAATAACTGCATAAAATACACATACAAATTCCAGAATGTATAATTTTGATTAATTAAAACTAAAAACATAAACAATATCTGTGCTACAATTTGCACATTCATAAACCATTAGTGACTAAGCTTTGAGGGTTGCTGGAGCCAATCCCAGCTGACACTGGGCAAGAGGCGGGGTACACCCTGGACAGGTCGCCAGTCTATCACAGGACTGACAGTAAGAGACAGACAACCACACACACTCACACCTACTCCTACGGGCAATTTAGAGTTGCCAGTCATCCTCAGCTGCATGTCTTTGAACTGTGGGAGGAAGCTGGAGTACCCAGAGAGAACCCACCCAGGCACAAGGACAACATGCAAACTCCGCACAGAATGGCATTAGGTCGACCAGGGCTCGAACCCAGAACCTTCTTGCTGTGCTAATCGTTGCATCACCATGCCACCCACTTCATATAATATTCCTCTTAATTTAGCCATCAGCTAATATCTTTCAAATTCGGTCCAAATTCAAGCACAGAGTATGACCATGTTATGGGGTTTGGTGCTTCCAGTTGCATGAATCACTGTTATTTGATGGCATCAGAAAGTACAGTATTAATGTCAGTAATTTCAAAGTGATGCAGCCACATGTATCAGACGTGGCACCCCAGCCTCTGATCTGCTAATGATGATGAATGGCTCACGGTGGCCTGTGATGAATAGCTGCAGACTACTCTTCATTTTCTGCTTCATTAAAAGTATTGATCCCCTCTTACGACAAGGTACTCTGCAACACCTCAGGGGAATGGGTAACTGTGACCGTCCACATGACTGCAGCAGTGCGATGGAGTGGATGAGAATTAAAACTATCCCTGAAAGCCTTCCCTAGGGGTAGAAAGTGTCTAGACAATGGGATGGGAATTAAACCCAAATGCATTGAGGTTGGTTTCCAGTATTAACCATCCTCCTTAGGTTCCCATTCAACCATTCTGTTTCTAGCTGTGTCTCTTATGTAATGGATTCGTGTTGCAAGGTAAAACTCTGCATTGTACTCAGTTCAGGGAATTTCATGAGATCAGACTGTTTCATTAGCCTGGATTTAGAAAGCATTTAGTCAATTAGAAACTCAGCTTGTTATGTTTAAGAAACAGTGCTGAACAGTAAAAAGCTGCAATTTCACTCCATTGGTCCCCATAGTGAATGACTAAGGACTAAGGATGCAACTTTAGCGCAAAAATGCAGACATATAGACATGCATGAATTTTAAGACAATAACTCCTCCAACCTATACAACATATGATCTTTTGTCCCTTCCCTCTCATACTACCCATAGGATCATCTATTTAAATTGTGCTCCTAAAGGTAGTGGGAGGAATTGCAACACTTCTGCCGACATTATTGACAACGTACAAGAGTTTTTAGCTAGCTAGTAGTAAGGGATGGGACAATATATCGAAATTCAAAATATCAAATATATGTCATAATACATATTGTCTTGTCTAGAGATATATATATTATATCATGTGATTCCATACACCAGCAACTTCATTTTTTTTTTTAAATAAGATAATAATAGAATGTAAGTCTGTATATCTGGTTGTTCCTTATATAATCAAACCAGTGCTAAAAAAGGGAAAAAAGAAGAATAAAGTGCAAGTGTTCAGCAGCTAGTCATACATTGTTATCGTTGAATATTGAGCATTGAATCATATCTAGAAAAAAACATCCTCAGAAATTACTTTATGTTTAGGAAAAAACTATTTGATCATGTTTAGGAACAAAAAGTCTTGAAATAAACAAGTCAAATTCTAGAATTTTAGAAAAGGGAAAGTCCTGTCTTTTGTGTACCTAGCCATCCACTCCAATCTCTTTCTAATGTGCACGCTGTGCCACTACATAATACATCACATTACTTACTCCTTCATGTCATAATTAATACAGTTACTATATGTCCCCAAACTATCAAACTATATGACAATTTGTCATAATAACCTATGGATACAGTCGTATTTTACAGGAAGACAGTTTCTTTGAAGCAGTTTAAGGATGTGAATACAAGACATGATTTAAATATGTTTTTGCAATTATTTGTAATCAATTCTGCACAAATCTGGCTCATCTTGAAAAAGCCTTATGTTTCTGTCTGTCTCTAGGTCATGTTTTCATCTCCAACTATCTGCTGAACTATTTCCCTGGGCTGGACATTGAGAGAAGGAATTGTCATGGTTTCACAGCTCTGATGAAAGCTGCCATGCAGGGCCAGCCTGAGTGTGTTAGAGCTCTTATGCTGGCTGGTATGTACAACAAAAGACACATTTTTTACAAAACAATACATACATTGCACATTAAAAAAAAATAAAAAAGGGGCCATTCTGTCTTAAATTAAATGTGCATTTTTTCTAGAACCCACTACATTTTCAGTTAAAACCTTTATTCTTCTCACAACTAATTTACAACTGACTTAATTAGCTACATATACAGTAGTGCAGTATATTAGGTGCATGTATAAAGTTAGAAATTCCCTTTGATGAATTCATGTGCAGTGTAAAGTGGTTTAGCAGTACAGCATTATTGACATACCCCTCCTCTGTCCTCGATTGTCTTCCTAAATCGTTATGTTTTCAGGAGGTGATATTCAGGCACGAGACAATGGCCGCAGTATGACACCCACGGAGTGGGCTCTCTTCACTGGTCGATATGAGACCGCCAACCTGATGTATCGACTGATGTTGAAGCCCTGTGCTGAGCAGTTCTGTGACTCCTTTTCCCTTGAGTGGCCCATGTTAGAGGTTAATCAATTCATCATGAGTACAGTCTTAAATACACAGATTCAAAATATGTTTTTGTTGCTTTTTTTTAAGTTGATTACTTGTAAACTACAACATTTGCTCTTTCTGTGCAGGAGCTGGTTTCCCAGGCCCGAGACCCAAAGTCCTGCTGGAGACATTTGATCAAATTTCTCTCCTGCTGCTCTTATAGGTTTAACATCAGCAACAGGATTAACCCTGTGGATGATGGAGTTCTTGACCACATGGTCCGGATCACCACTGGTATCTCCAGCCCGTTCATCGCCCCAGCTTGCTATACAGTATGCCCCAGCAGCCCACCATGTGTTGGGAAGCGTCGTCATGCTGTGCAGGAGATTCTGAGAAGGCAACGGGTGGCCGAGCTGAAGTGTCTAGGCCCAGACAGATTGAATAACTACAAAAGATTTTTCCAGAACTCGCGAGTCCTCCTCATTCCCAAGGTGAGGGATCGGAGGGCCAGCCTCCAGCCTCAACTGCTCCGTGATGTGGCTGCAGCATCCACAGTGGTCATAAGACGAGCCAGTCTTCTCCCACTTAATATGCTGAGAAGAAGTAGTGTGCGCCCAGGCACGATGGTGCCTAAAGTGAGGCTCTGCAAAGCCCCGGCTCCTAGTTTTATACCAGAAGAAACCAGGGAGAACAATAACCACAACCAGCTCCAGATACCCAAGTGGAATTACAAGATGAAGACAATCGAGAGGAGGCAGGAGGGGGAGAGGCAAAGACTGTTACCTTTAACAAGGAGGAAAGGGGAAGAGAACAAAGCATCTTCAGCTTGAGTGGGTCTTGTTGGAAAACCCTCACAAGGCTCTTAAATGCACAGTAATTTATAATGACTGTGAATCTAACTGCCACTTTTCACTTGTTTTCTGAGTTTGCTGACTTGGTTGGATTTGTTGCGTTGTTTTGACTTGAGTACACACACATTTGTGAAGCATAATTTCTGATGCAATATGGGAGATACAGGAGCTGAGAAAAAAATCCACATGCTTTTATTAGTTCATACTAGAATGCTGATGGTATCTTAAATTCAATGACACATGGCAAATGGACAAAAGTAGAGTAAAAGTAGACAAAAGTTTCAAATGAAGTGCTTGTTAAATTGTCTATAGCAAAGGTTCCTATGGTCTCACAACATTTGATGCAAGGCTGTAAAGAAACAATGTCATTCAACATTGTTTCTGTTGAACAAGAATTCAGCTGAACAAGAATTATAGCCTTTTATAGGATTTTTTTTTTGTTTGTAAATTACTTTGAGCTTGACACAATATGTGTACATTTTTCTTTGTGGTCTGGTGTGCAAAAAGGTTTCAGAACTCCTGGACTAGAGGACCTGATATATTCCAAAACAAATATACAGAAGACAAGCTGAAAGTTGTACTCTTACTACACTGAGTGTCCTCTCTAGGTTATTTTTAAAATCAATCACTGGCAAGGGGTTGCATGAAGAGGCAGTGGTTAGCACTGTTACCTCACAGCAAGAAGGCCCTGGGTTTGAGCACTGGGCGGCACGAGGCCTTTCTGTATGGAGTTTGCATGTTCTCCCAGTGCCTACGTGGGTTCTCTCTGGGTACTCTGGCTTCCTCCCACAGTCCAAATTGGCTCTATGAGTGTGTGTGTGTGTGTGTGTGGTTGTCTGTCTTTACGTGTCAGCCCTGTGATAGAGTGGCAACCTGTCCAGGGTGTACCCCACCTCTCATCCAATGACCAGCCCCTCAGCGACCCTCTTTAGGATAAAAGGTATAGATAATGGATAGACTGAATCACTGGCAGTCACCACACAATGTATGCCAGGTATACACCATATTTTATTCACAAAACAAGGAAGGCTAACCTTCATTTCAGCATGATTTGACTGCATGTTGGAATGTATAGTGGGCTGCACATGCTATTCTGCTGATTAACAGCTGGTTGAGGTAACATGCAAAGAAGCAAAGCAATGCAGTGCCAAATGTAGTTGAAAAGGCTACAAGCTAGCAAAGATGTCCCTCGGGCATTCTTCAAAACATTTGACCATCTATCAAGCACTTTGGATGAAATACAGTATTGTGGCGACCTACGTCGGCTATTGGGGAGGGGTCTGGTGGCAGCGACATGATGCATGGGGGCATCGTGGGAGTTCAGTAATTAGTTCAGAGAGCAGTTATAAAATTACTGTTAGTGTTCTTATGTGTTACCCTGTTGTTGTGTTGATCTTACTGACTTGTACTGATGTGTTGATGTTGACGATGTTTTGCTAGTTGGTTGCTGTGCTGTGTTTTGTACCGTAAGTTTGAATTGTATGTGTGAAACTGACCTTGGGGAAAATGCCATTGTCCTGACCAGT